AAATTACGGTAATGTGATTCACAGTAAAAATGTATTTACTGTAAATTTAGCCAGTAAAGTTTGATCTTAATGCATTGCTGATTTACAGCAACATACAGGTTCTACAGTGGATATTTGGCCACTTTGCAGCAAAAATGCTATAAAAACTATAGATATTTGTTACAGTGCTGATGTACTTTTGCAGATGAGAGATATCTGTTTTTGACTTTTAATAATCTTGCAAAAAAAGTTTTAAAAGTGCACTTTGGTTTTATGATTATGATTGTTGACTGAAAGGAGAAAAAATAAGTTATTTTATATAGCATGCTTCCAACAACAGGATTCAGACATTACCAAAAACAATTGCTGATCAATGCTGCTGTGCAGACAGCATGGCCACGCACATGACTGCAACCTACATCAGATCCACTTCAGGAAGTCACATAATATCATTGGGGTGGACAGTGCAGTAACGCAAATGGATCTATAATTAACTGAACTGAATTGAAGTAATCTCAGCTTCCTTATGAATTACAGTCACTGTTAGGCTTTTCTATTGTTAAAGATGACTACTGGTGATAAGAAAACAAAAGTGAAAAATGTTTATCAGTCAAAGATCTGACCACACCTTGAACAGAACTTGAGTCAAAATATGATAAAGCAAAACAAATACAAATACTCATGCATACTTAGTTTGTCTTTATTTAACTTCTATCATTATCAATCCACAACACCTCATACTGGTTATCTGTTATTCCCACTGTTTCAAATTAGATTTGGTTGTTGCGGGTGTTCCTACTAGATCTTTGAATACTACTAAAAGTGAATCCTGAGCCTCTGAACCTTGCCTGAAAAGACAGAACTTTTCCTCATCACTGCTTATTATCACAAGTACAAACAGAAAGCATTTACTGTTACAAAATCTTCATGCACATAAGTGAAATGTCCTTAACTGTACTGGGATTTTAGCAATATGCAATGCTCTGTAATTGTAATCTTGTCGTTTTTCTTAAACAATGCGCAGACTCCTTTTGGATAAACAAACAAACAAAAAAAATCACAAAAAGGAAGAGCAAACAATACAGACCACTCCCTGGCAACACTGTTTGCACATGGGCAACTCTGTCACGCCAATGTCAGCCACCTCACAGTCAGCTGAATTTGCTGATCCTCTGCCAATCACTAAACAGAGGTGTGGAAATTCTTTTAGTCATCCAGAGTTATTATCTGGTTAGAAAGTGTGGTTCTGAAGTGTTCAGGGCCAAATACAATGACCTCAGTTTTGTCTGAATTTAGGGGAAGAAAATTACAGGTCACCCAGGCCTTTAGGGCCTGAAGACATGCTTGGAGTTTGGTTGATTGGTTTAATTTGACTTTGTAAATAAATATAACGAGGTATCATCTGCATAACAATGGAAATTTATGCAGTGTTTTCTCATAATATTGCCTAAAGGGAGTACATACAGAGTAAATAATATTGGTCCTAACACAGAATCCTGTGAACTTCATAACTTACTCTGATGTGGGTGGAAGAATCATCACTAACATGAACAAAATAGTATCTGTCTGATAAATATGATTTAAACCAGTTCAGTGTGGTTTATTTAATCCCAATGACATGTTTCAATCTTCAGTCTTCTTTAGTTATTTTGAGGGGACAGTAAATTTACACTGTTACACAAGCTGTACACTGAATACTTTACATTGTAGCAAAGTGTCGTTTCTTCAGTGTTGTCCCATGAAATGATATAATAAAACATTTGCAGAAATGTGACATACTGTAGCTGAAACAACTGTTGTGGTTTTTATTTTTTACTGCATCTCCTCATCCTATAAGAACAGGGCCAAATGACACTAAAAAGATTCACTGTCTGTGGCTATCAATGGTGACCTTCACTAGGGCTGTTTCTGTACTGTGATGTATTCTAAATCCTTACTGAAACTCTTCAAAATAACCATTTCTGTGCAGATGGTCTCATAATTGGCTCGCAACAGCTTTTTCAAGAACTTTAGAAAAAAAGGGGAGGTTAGATATAGGTCACCCCAGTGCAGAAATTAAAACTGGCACCTAGCAGATATTACAACTATCTCCTACCAAAGTGACGAGAGCCTTCTCTAATATTTATGCCTGAAAGACTGCTAGTCCAGATAACATACCTGCAGACCACATGAAGAATGTCTCCACAAACATGTCTATCATCTAGCTTAGCAAAACTTTAGTGTCCACCATTTCAGCCCTCAGCTATTCTCAGAGTAATGTCACTACATTTACTTTTCAGCTCTTCTTTCATTTACTGTTACGCTAGCCTTTAAAATGACCAAAGGATCATTTCAGGGTTAGTTATATCTTGTATATCTTGTTTTTATTTTCCCCCATCATGTGATGAGATAATACTTGTAATATAATATATGTAAAAAACTATGTTTTTACATAGTTGTCAGTGTAGCATTCTGGTAGCAGAGACAGTTATCGTCATTGTGTAGGGGGGGGACTTACGTGAAAATATGTGCTTAGTGTCTAATGGAAGTAAATGCTATTATGTTATTTTCTGAACAGGCAGGTGTTTGCCCCACCACCCCCTTCAGCAGTGGTCCACCAAAGACTACTTTGCCTGAGGCTCTGCAGAGTCTATGATCACAACACCTGCCTGTTTGCAGATGACCTGCTGGTGTGTTAACAATACTTTTGAATCATCCTGGATAATCCTCCACAGCACTGTCATGCTAACAATGAGGAAAAAGTTTGTATATGTTCTTCTAAAAAAATAAATCATAGAGGCATATTTGGTCTGTATATATATTTAATATAATACAGATGCAATATAATATTACAATAATATCTAATATTTAATTTTTAAAAAATATTATATCATCATACCTCAATACCATTTTTCTTAATTTCTTCAGACCACTATAATGATCTATTGCTCGGTTGGCATCTTACCCAGGTATACCGTATATTTTTACAGATGGCACAATTTTTTGTAAGAACATTCCCAATTTAGTATTGAAAATGTGAACATATTTGAAATAAAATAAAGTATTTTTTCAACAGGTAAGTTGTTAGGATGAAAAACTGCATTTTGAAATGAAACTGGCTACTGGGAAAGTACTTTTAAAAAATGACATTTTAAAATTGTAAGATTACCCAGCCATAACTGACTTCAACAAAGAAAAAGCAAATTTTTGTCCACCTTCTGTAGCTCTGGAGTCTAAGACATTTACACTCTGATCAACAGAGCAAAGAAACCAATGTGCACAATGTCAGATGGGGAATCAAAAAGAAAAACACTTTCCAGGTACGTCAGGATAGTGTTAAGTTGCTCTCAGGAGGAAGTCATGAGAAGACCTCCACAGATTTTCCACTCATCACTTCCAGACTAGAACACCCAAAAATGTGGATTAGGCCAGCTTTTGACCCTGTAAGAAGTTGGGATCAAACTTTGATAAGCCACATTGAAGGAACCCTATTTACCGTTGGTCATTGAGCCTTTGTTCTAAATTGAAGAACACACACCAAACCAAATATTACTTGACAAATTAAAGACAATCATTTCTTTTTCTTGAACTCAACTTTTATTTATATCAACTATTACGCCCAGTCAAGGGGTACTTGAGCACAACATGAAATGCTATCCTTCACAGGTCTCAAGAAGCCATGCAAAACATTTTCAAGGAGAAGTTAATCATTAATTTGCAGCAATTGTGATTTTGTGACAAAGGCTGTGGTTAATAAAAACATATTGGAGGTAATGTATAACTTAAGACTGACTCTACGCTAAAATAACAAACAAAACCACACTATGCTTTTGGGAGTCCAACTTACTGAACCAAATAAAAGGAGCAAAATTAAGCACAAAATCTAACCTCCTTTTCTAACTTAACCAGGAGAAAAAGGGCAAAACAAAAAGTGGGAAGCTCACTCCATTCATCTAATATATTACTTGTTTTAACTTAACAAAGAACACTGTGCTTGAGTTGTGTATTCTGGTTGGGACACAGTGAAGGATGGCCTGCCCATCTGAGTCTCTCCGCACTTCCGGCGACGTCGTCTTTCCGCCTTAAGTACCGCATTCTTTGTAGTTCAGCCAATCCTGTCTTTGGTGCGACACAGCCCTATTTTCATACTAAATATGCACACAGCGGGGAAGCACACAGAGCACAGGGAAAACTACACACAGATACAACCACAGTCGTAACACAGCTCAGAGAAATAACCACAAACCACTGATGTCAATAACCACAGTATGTTTAGTTTAGTCCCATTTTGATTGTCTGTCTTTGAGGAGTACACACTGAAATAATGCAATACAATATGTTATCATTTTACATTTATATTAATATCTACAAAATATTGTAAAAGTGTGACTCTGTGAAGGCATTTGGGCATCAGCCTTCCCTGACGGAGGTTGCACCAGATCCCTTCCGGCGTTAATGATATGAAAAAGTCCCTTTAAAAGATGGACCTGAAAGCACCACTTTTAGTCCATCTTGAGTCTTTCTTGAGTTCTTCATGACTTCCTTTTGACTTCTTTGGAGACTGTCAAGGAGAGTCCACTTTGTCCACCTATTCTGACCCATTAATTAGCAGCTACTTTCTGGTGTGATCTGTTCATCCATTAATCTCAAAACCTAATATTCCAACAGAATATTGTGTAGCCATAGCCCTTCCCATTAACCTTACTCAGAATCACAGTTTCTTTGTTTAGAATTGTTTTGTTGTTTAGTCTGTTTTGTTTGATACAAGAACTTACAAAATAAATCTGATTTAAGAACAAGAAAAGTGAAAAACAACCAACCGCCATGTTTGTTGTGAGACTATTTACATGAATTCTACATTACAAATGTCATCTGTTTGCATAGTTTGTCACCTTGTAGTTCGTATCAGGTGTGTGCAGGCCAGTGAATTGGAAATATAATAGAACATGGAACACAGGGAAGGAAGCTGAATGCCACTCCTTCACCTGCTAAGGCCTTGCCTACTGGTATAAAGGAGTGTACATCCTTCACATCTTCCTCAGAATTCCTGTGGAGAAGGGAATGGCTATGGCTAACAACTGGCTGCCATGGCTATGCCTGTCTGCTATTGTAGCCGCTTGGCACAGTGGTATGTACATTATACTTGATTACTCAGACTGACAGGTATAACAGTTTGGACTATTAACGGTCCAAATGTTTAATGTGCTACAGCACAGTGCAGCGTTATTATGTTATAATGCAGTTTTAGATTTGATTATTGTTTACTAGACAAATAACTCTTATCTCTTCCAACAGAGGCAAACCCTGATGTGAATATATTCCAGATTCCTGAAGCAATAAGAGGTTGTTGTCTTGATTAGATTTTTTTCTACGTAGGCCATATGTAATCATTTATTAATGTAGATGAAGACTTTAGAAAATTAAAAAAAAACAAAAACAATCTCTTTGTAGGTGTGAGTCCTGTCCACAATGGCCAGGTTTGCAGCACATGGGGAAACTTCCACTTCAAGACCTTTGACGGGGATATTTTCCAGTTGCACTCCACCTGCAACTACATCCTGACTTCGTCATGCCACAGCAGTTACAATGACTTCAACATTGAGATAAGAAGACAAGAAACTGGTGGTTCTTCTACCATCAAATACATCATTTTGAAGCTCCAGGGTTCAGTGGTGGAACTGTCAAAGGGCTCAGTGATCATTGATGGCAAACTGTAAGTTTACTCCAAGAAACCCTAAACTCTTTCCACTCACATGTATAATTTATTGCTTCAGTCTGGATGGTGCATACAGATCATATTTAATAATATCTCATACTGTCACTATTAAAAAACCCAAAAGGAATGGCTTGAATAGCGATAATGATTTGAACAACACGAAAAGGATCTCAGTTATTGTTATCAACGCAGCTTATTTAGAACCTAAATAGATCAATCACAGATGTAAATTTCTCTAAGAACTATTGGTGTTGAATGCCACTCTGTGTTTTTATACTGTTGGATATTGTTGGAAATAGTGGCGAGCGGCTGTGAACAGGAAGGGACAGAGTGGACTCTATTCCTTGAGAAAATTTAGGTCCTTTAATGTGTAAAGCAAGATGTTGCAGATCTTTTACCAGTATATTGTTGCAAGTGCAGCTTTCTTTGCAGCCTGCTGTTGAGGCAACGGCATCAAAGCCAGTGACACTAAGAAACCAAATAAACCGAAAATGAAGACTGACTGTGCTGGGGATGGCTCTGGAGCCACTGTAGTTGGTTGTTAAGGGAAGGGACTTACACAAACTGCTAAATGGACAACGCTTGACACACATCACAGTTCAAGCATGATCTACAAATCAGACTACAAAGTGTTTTCAGTCGTGGGACTCTTCAACTTAGTAAGGATCGCTACAGAAAGTCAGTCCTACCCACTGCGGTAATGTTGTATAATGACTCTCCACTGTGAAGAGAGAGGAGACATATCTTTTGAGGAATTTTACATATCTAACTGAACATTTCACTTTAAGATGCACTGTTTCTCCAATTCTGAATCTCTTTCCCCCCCCATTAGTTTTTCTGGTACAGTACTTTTTTATGCACATCTGTATCTTTTGTTTATTTTTATCTGTTTCATTTACCTTTTCTTTTTACAGAGCCATCCTTCCATTCAGTCAGGGAGGAGTGCTCATTGAGAAAACACCCACTTACATCAAAATCAAAGCAAAGCTAGGACTGGTTGCTTTCTGGAATGAGGAGGACTCTTTTCTGGTAAGGCTATGGCTGCACAGAGCAGCCTGTTTTGACAACTGTTCTGTTCTATACAGTGACATTTCAACGTTTTCTAAATTTCTGCATAAATATGACCCTAAACATTATCGGATTTTACTAACTCAGCGTTACAGGTTCCAGTTCTAGCTGGTGCTTACCAAGACTGATTTGTCCTTACAGGTCGAGCTAGACCAGAAGTTCAAGAACCAAACTTGTGGTCTTTGTGGAGACTTTAATGGAGTTCCGCTTTACAATGAGTTCTACAGTCATGGTACACGCAGACCCACCTTAGAAAGTCAGGCAGTGTCGGCATGGTCATAGAACTGAATTGGGATTCTTTTATATCATCCAAACAGGTGTGAAAATGTCCCTCAGGGATTTTGCTGACTTCTGGAAAATGAATGGTCCAACTGAAACCTGCTCGGACTACACAGTGGTACCAACAAAAAGTTGCAACAACATGGTGAGACTTCATCTAGAATCAAAACACAGTTGTCTGCATCCACAAGTGTCTGCAAGGATCAGCATGATGTAAATTCGCTGCAGGGTGGCGCAGTTGGTAGCACTGTTGCCTCGCAGCAAGAAGGTCGCCGGTTCGCGTCCCGGTGGGGGCACCGGAATCTTTCTGTGTGGAGTTTGTATGTTCTCCCCATGCAGTGTGAGTTCTCTCTGGGTTCTCCGGCTTCCTCCCACACAGTCCAAAAACATGTTGGTGATTCTAAATTGTCCGTAGGTGTGAATGTGAGTGTGCTTGGTTGTCTGTCTCTAAGTGTAGCCCTGTGATAGACTGGTGACCTGTCCAGGGTGTCCCCTGCCTTCACCCTAAGTCAGCTGGGATAGACTCCAGCCCCCCGCGACCCTATGAGGGTTAAGCGGTGTATAGATAATGGATGGATGATGTAAATTCCAGCATGTACCCATCTTCTAAGGATGCAGCATGCTGCCCAGAATTTGTGGCCACACAGACTGTATATGTGCCAGGAAAACAAATGGCACTCTTTGGAACACATCAGAGGCAAAACACAAACAAAAAAACAAGACAAAAAAAGCTTTGGAATTCACTGATTTAATTCAGTTCAATTTTAATGTTATCTTAATTTACCAGTGAGTTCTATTTTAAAAGCTTGTTACATCATCCGTTGTGTAAAATTTTCACCTTGAAAGTTACTACATAGTACCTAAAGCTGTCAGTTAAATGTAGTGAAGCAGAAAGTACGATATTAACTTCTGGAATGTGGTGTTATGAAAATATAAATAATACCTGAAAAATGTACTTCAGTGCAGTACTTAAGTAAATGCATTTAATTACTTTCCACTACTGGCAGTGACCGTGATTGACTGTTGGCATCAGTGCAGTGGTTTCATCTCTGGTCTGTACTGGAACAATACAGATTTCATCGTTGTTTTCTAGTAATAGCTTCCCCTCAGTGTTGCAGTAATAAATTTACAGGTAGTGGATAGGGATGTCCTTAACTGCCCATAGTCACAACTTCTGTGGACACAGTAATAGGATTTAACCCTCCTATTACCTTCAAATTTACTGACATCTTTTATCCTTGGGTTCAATTTGACACCAGCAATTAAAATTGTTTTCCGAGTTTATGTGTAAATAGCCCTTTAAATAAAACTGAAAAAACATGTCAGTGACTTATTTAGAGATGTTAAACACTGAATGGGGTCAAATGGACCCAAAAGATAATAGGAGGGGTAAGTGACAATGTGACTGTGACCCAGAAGCACAGACACTGGTCCTTAAACCACAGCCAAACTTGTGAAATCAACAGTTGGAGTCAAAGCTGAAAACTCTAAGCTTGTGTATCAAATGAAGTCCTCAGAGGCCATAGCCCCACAGATTAAAAATAGATAAATCCCAGCCACCACTGGGTCATACATTAGTTTTCATGGTGTGGCTATCCCTGGATAATATGGTATGTGTGGTCTTTGTGTCTATTTGTTCTGCAGAAACCAGTGTGTGAGCATATCCTTATGGGGCCAGCCTTCGACAGCTGTCGCCATCTGCTGGACATTGAGTCTTTCACCTCTGCCTGCGTTGCAGACCTCTGCCACTGTGGCAACAGTGAAGATGAAAAAGCAGATCCCCTCTGCCTGTGCAATACTGTGTCTGAATTCTCCCGACAGTGTGTTCATGCTGGTGGGAAGCCCCAAGGTTGGAGAACCAAAGAGCTCTGCTGTGAGTACACTAAGCCACTGCTAATTAAATGTTCTTGGGGTCGGAGGCATTGTCTGTTCTGTGTTTTGTTGAAATAAGATATCTCATGCATTTATTTAATAACTTAAAATACAAAAAAAAAAAAAAAAGATCAATGCTGCAAATTAGACAAAAGGGAAACTGAGAAGTCTATCTTTTGTAAATGTCACAGTAGATTAAAAAAAATATATTGTGTTTCAGCCATCATAAATTGTCTTAACAAAAAGTAACTCCCCACACGCTGACATAGTTTACAGTCAATCCTGAAGTAGGTATAATTCAAGCGATTTGCTAATTTAAAAAAATTTTTTTTTAATGGAAACTCTGGAAGTTTAGTTTACTTAATGTACTATATAAAGAGCTCATGATGTTGCCTTACAGCTGTGTTTAATCACAATGACTTATAATGGTAACTGACCTAACTATGGGCTGTTTCTCTGAACAAGAAAAACCCTGTTTGTGGTTTATTTTAAAAAAATAAAATAAAACAAACTCTTGAAAAAATGCGTTTGTTTAATTAGTTTCTGAATGCCTTTGTCTCATACATATGACTAAATCGTGTTTCATAATCACAGCCTAGTCTCTTATTAAAGTCAGAGTGAGTCAGCTGATTTATTAGACATGATTGTTATGCTATCCATTATGTGAGGCCAGCCTCAGCCCTTCTCAAAGTGTAGTGCATTCACAGGGAAATCATGTCCATACCAAATGGAGTACAAGGAGTGTGGGAGCCCCTGTGCTGACACATGCTCAAACCCAGAAGCCAGCCATACATGTGACAGCCACTGCATCGACGGATGCTTCTGCCCTGCAGGTACAGCAGAGCATCACTCAAATATATATGCAAATAATTGTACACACCTTGCCTATCAATACAGCATAACTGTGATCTATTTCAGGCATGGTGCTTGATGATTTAAGTGGAATGGGTTGTGTTCCACTGAGTGAATGCTCGTGCAGCTACAACAGCAAGATCTATCAACCTGGAGAGTCCTACTCCAGTAACTGCAAACAATGGTATGATGTACAGCATGTTGCTTAAACAAGAACTCCACATAAACAATATATGTGTTTGCTAGAAAAATTTTAGTCAGATGAAGAAATCCATCTTATGAGTACATTTTGCAGATATAATAGGCTTCACTAGGTGTTTAGCCTAGAGTAGTCTAGTTTGTAAATACAACAGCTTTGGAAATAGTTGTTAATTCACTGTTTAACTAACATTAAACTGTGTGCACTGACAGTGTGTGTGCGAGTGGTCAGTGGAAATGTAGTGAGGAGAACTGTCCAGGAACATGCTCTGTGGAGGGAGGAGCTCACATGAAGACCTTTGATGGAAAATTCTACACCTTTCATGGAGACTGCTCTTATGTTCTGGCTAAGGTACAGTATATGTCAACATCACAGCTGTTATAATATTACAGTATAAATATATACATGAATTTATAAAATAACTAAAATATGCCTGAAACAGGCCTTAGTTTTACATGACATCATGTTTAATGAAGATATTTGCACTAATTAAACCAATGTTTGTACATGTGTGTGAGTGAATGAGAGAGAGAGAGAGAGAGAGAGAGAGAGAGAGAGAAAGAGAGAGAGAGAGAGAGAGAGAGAGAGTCGTAANAAGATATTTGCACTAATTAAACCAATGTTTGTACAAGAGGCAGATACAGGGACAGAGAGAGAGAGAGAGAGAGAGAGAGAGAGAGAGAGAGAGAGAGAGAGAGAGAGAGAGAGAGTCGTAAGAGCCACCAAAACCATCACCTAAGTTCAATCCTGGGGAACTGGAATATGGTGTCACTTGTAAATTGATTTACAAATGTATAACTAATGTTGATTCTACAATAGTATGTATATATATTTGTCAACAATATGTACTGAAGTTTTATTTACATTGTACTACTTTGATTAGCAAATACAGAGTTAACAAACAATATTGATATTACACATTCCCTATTACCATCCTCCAGTCCCTATTAGTGTTATTACTGCTATTAGTAGTACTAGTATCCTTGTGGCATGGCAATGCTACAGCTGACACACCCACTGTCACCGCTACTTTAATTCTAAATGCTATGCACAGTCTTCTGCAAACATTTATTTAAGTTCAGCAGTGGTTGAGTAGTTTTATGGTTGTGTGTTTAGGACTGTGGTGGAGGCCACTTTGTCATACAGGGAGAACTGGCACAGTGTGGACTGACTGAGAGTGAAACATGCCTCAAGTCTGTTACCTTGGGTTTGTCTGGAGGAGCTAATGTGAGTGTGACACACAAAAAGACACTCATATACACGACACTACTTATTTTGTTTTTGGAGAAAAAAAAGTTGAAACTATCTCTTTGTTGTTCTAAAATATATTTCTTGAAAATTATAATATATAATGATACATTTCATTGACAATTTTGAGTCCACATGAAATAAAATTTCTTTCAATTCAGTAAAAAGTCTTTTTTTATTTTGTTTGTCTTTAAATACTAAAGCTTTCTTTCGAACACATTATTTTAAACAGCATACAAGTGTTAGATTACAGAATATGGTTTTCTTAAATTTCAGTTAACCTTTTCTAGATTTCACTGAATTTGAAATTAAAATAATTTTGCAATCAATTCTGGAACATAATAGAGTCAGATTATTACAATGGATAACGCTTTTATGTTTTTATCACAACTGCATTCTTTGTTGCACAGTAATGTAATGCAAGCTTTTTTTCTTTGTTCGTCATTGCACTGTAATTGAGCACAGTGAACATACAGATGTCATTGTTAACATCTTGTCTCCTTTCATACAAAGGTTATTACCATCCAGCCCAACGGCAACGTTTTTGTGAATGGCATCTATTCTCAGTTACCATTTTCTGCTGGTGAGAGTCACTTCCTTGTACAGCTTCTACCATTGATTGTCTCTCTGCCATGCAGGACAAGGGCCACCATGGGGCCCCCATGGTGCTATCTAATGACTGAGGAGTGTATAAACACTGACAAATGACAACATTTCATATGCTGTCAAACCTTTCAGTTGCTATTTTTTCATTGCAAAGCCAAACAAAAATATTTTGGAAGCAAAGGAAGTAACATTTTTTTTGTGAGTTTCTGTGAGGAAATTCACAACGCACAATGTATGTTGAATTTGTGTTTGAATTGTCTGAAATCAACAGCATATGTTCAGTAATATCACCCCTCACAAGCATCTTTTTTCGACATCTTATTTCATTAAACGCTCAGTGACTGTTACCATACAATCCTCCCCAACAAGTTTACCTTCTGCATCTTTATTGTAAATTCACTTGGACTGAATGGGGTGACAGCGTGCAAAAGTGAAATTAATTTTCCTGACTACCTGGATGGGCAGATAACTAGTTTGTGATTTTGTCTAGCTGCTTCCATCTTTTTTGAAAAACTCTCATCTCTAACATTTCTCTTCACCCCCAGCTGGGATTTCTGCCGTCAGAGCATCCTCTTTCTATCTGCTGGTACAGACATCTGTTGGTGCTCTGTTGAAGGTGCAGCTCCAGCCAGTCATGCAGCTCTACATCACAGTGACCAGCGACTACCAGGCCAACACCTGTGGTATGTACACTAAAGTATCAGGAATGTTGATAGCCTGCATCTGAGGGATGGACACACCTTTTAGGAAAGCAATATTCACATTCTAGAGAGAGAAGATAGATGTTGGAGAGAAACTTTATTTTCATGTTCATTACCAATACTGTGCTGGTTTTACCAGAGGCCTATACTACAAAGGATTTGAGGTTATTGAGGTAACTTCAGGTGGTTCACTTCTTACCTTCTTATTTCAATGGTAACTTGTGCTGAACTTCCAACCTGCTCCAGAGCAGGTTATGTTCTAGGTAAGAGATCAGCATGTATAAGAGCTCCACGTACTGACCAATCACTTCTCTTGGAAAATGTCATCAACATTAGGAGATCCAGCAGAGCCCAGGGCACAGATATAAGAGTTAAGGACATGAGATTTTTACAGCCACAAGTAATTTCAAAGTCATTTCATTGTTTTGCCTTTGTAGAGTGATATAATCGTAAAAACAGAAACTGAATGAAATTCTAAACCCTCATAGCCTGATTGTTAATCTTATAAGGATTGCAATAAGCCTCTCAGTCGATTTGAATTATGTTTTTACATTTGTCCTCTACTTACTCCCAGAACTGTTTAACACCAAAAGTTACTGAAAGCCACTGGAATGAAGCCCAATGTGAGATTGTCCACATCACAATGAAAACAGTTAGAATTTTAGAACTGGGTGATTCATTGGTAAACTATTTGTACAAAATAAGCATGCTTATTAAAAAAAAACAAAAAAAACTATGAAGACTTGAGACACAAGTACATGTCATTACACATGTATTACATATTAAAAAAAGAAGTTCTGCTTAACATAATGCCTTTCATGTGACTTAGCTCCACACTGCTGAAGGGGCTTATTTAATGTTTAAAATGACAATATCAAGCTTACCCTATTGTGCTACCTTAAATCATTTCTAGTGTTTGGTCATTACACTGTAATATTTCAGGCATTTCTGTTTTCAGAGTTTCAGCCATTACCAAAGCAAATAGAAGCTTTACTTGTGCACAACTAGGCAGGCACCAAAAGTCTGTTGGCAGGATGAAAGAAAAAGAAGCTAGGTGGAAAAAAAGGGAGATGATGAAGTCATTGTAACTGAAACATAAAGAGTATTTATGTGGTAATGGTGCTTTCACCCTGTGGTCAAAGAGGACCCAGAATCAATCCAATTTGCATTCAAAATGATGGCTTGATATTACTATTAACCTGATTGTGTCTGCCGGCAGGTCTGTGTGGGAACTTCAACAATAACCAGGCTGATGACTTTCTTAAGCTGAGTGGTGTTATAGATGCCACAGCACCTGGTTTTGTCAACAGCTGGAAGACACATGCTGGTTGCGCTGATATTAAGAGCAGCTTTGAGAATCCCTGCAGTCTCAGCCTGGATAATGGTGGGTGTGACTCATTTGGATTCTATGTTATCACGGTTCTTCAGAACAACTGATAGTGATGGTAGTTCTTGTGTTTCAATAACAGAGAACTATGCCCAGCACTGGTGTTCCATGCTGACTGACCCTCGAGGAGTGTTTGCCTCCTGTCACTCTGAAATCAGCCCCGACTCTTATAAAGAGGCAAGTGCCACAGCTTCAGATAAAATAAGATAAGATAAGAAAAGATAAGATAAAACTTTATTAATGTTGATAGAAACTGTTTTGCCAGATATTGCTGAAAAAACAAATGAGAAATGCGGTGCTTAGTAGAAAAGCAATACGATATAAGTAGGATGAGGTAGCAAAGTATCACACATGATAACTACATATTCCAAATGAAATTGAAATGTTGCACATGATCGGGAGATATTGCAAATAAAATTAAAAAGTTACACATAATAAAATATTGTACTTTGAAATGAGATGTTACACATGAAATAGAAATGGTTCGCATTACATTATACATCACACTGAAATATTGGACATGATACTGAAACTGATAATGTACATACTATTGAGAAAGGTAGCATTGCAGACATTGACTGATGTTCACATTTAAGTGTCCAATGTTTCAACTTTCATTTCTGCAAAAAGTGAAGAGAGTTCTCATTTGTTCATATTTGTGTCAGCTGTACCTGCACAGGAATTCAGACGTTTCATACGACAAACTCATACTTCTGTTTATTTTGTCTTCTCACAGAACTGCATGTATGACAGCTGTAACTGTGAGAAAAGTGAGGACTGCATGTGTGCTGCAGTCTCCTCCTACGTCCACGCCTGTGCAGCTGCAGGAATAGAGATCAGTGAATGGAGAAAGGTCATTTGTGGTGAGTAGTGAGGAATGATGAAACAGGACAGTGTTTTGCATATGACTTAGAGGACTCACAACATTAGTTGTTCAAATCCTACAAAACAATGCTACAAAAGTTCAAAGGGCTTTGAAGACTGTGTCCTCAAGCATGTCAAATTTCATTTTGTTTAGGCAGAAAAACAGACACAAAAATGGGCAAAAGTTACTGTTGGCACTATTATTGGCAAAACATGAAAGCAATGCTCAGACACCTGCTTGAAATGAAACTTGTGGGCAATCAATCTTTGAATGCTGAAGAGTTCAAACTTGGACTTGTCCTTCTTCCAGTCATCAACAGTCCAGTGCTTGTGCTCCCTGGCAAATCTGATGCATTTCTGGATAATGGCTTTTTACAGCTAGTCTTTTCTTTAAGCCTTGTTTCATCAGTTGTCTGCTTATGGTCATTGTGGAGACTTTCTCAGATTCTGATCGAGAAGCATTCATCTCTGCCTGAAGATCAGCAGTGGTCTTCCTTTTGTCTCTAGTACTTAAAATCTTGAGGTGTCTGACATCTGCTTCAGTTACCTTTACCTATTGCAGTGTGGTCCTGCCACAGACTTTCCCTGATTTTGTGGTTGTGCCTCCTCAGGAAAATATGCCAGTTCTTGCCCCAGCGGCATGGTCTACTCCTACAACATCACATCCAGCAGTCGTACCTGCCGCTGCATCAGCAGCACAGATTACAGCTGTCATGTCTTCCCACCCATCGATGGCTGTATCTGTGCAGAAGGAACCTATCTGGATGACTCTGGGAACTGTGTCCCATCTGAGGCTTGTCCCTGTTATGATGAAGGCTCAACAATTCCTTCTGGTCAGGTCATCAACAAGGAAGGGGTCCTGTGGTATGAAAATAATATATTGCCTCAGTTCTTTCTAATTTTGTTTTTGTGTATGATTTATATGTGGTTTGGTGGGTTCTAATTATTTCATTCTAAACTGATTAAAATTACTTTTCCACTGTAGTCTGTGTAGTCAAAGACATGGGAGACAGAAGCGGTGTACAAGTCTTGAATTTTGAGTGTTTTTATTTACATTTGCATTGTGGGCTTTTAAAAGAACAACTTAGTATTGGCTGTTTGACTTTTGGTTAATGTTTAAACAGTGTGTCATATGTATGTGTCTTTATGTATTTTTTGTATTTCTTCACTAGCACCTGTAAGGAGGGAAGACTCAGCTGCATTGGAGAGTTTATTACAAAACTGTGTAAGTTACATAATACAGAATCACCGATAAGTGGCAGCCTAAGAGTGCTACATTATTTTATAACAGTACATTACATGGCTTAAATGCCAGAAAGTATTTTTGTTATTTACCATCTGTACTCCTATGTTAAATAATGAATGCTGTGAACTACAGAAGAATAGGTCTAATGGATTTGAGCTACAGCTGTGACATACTTACAGTAATCTGTACTTTGAAGTCAAACCTGTCAGACTTAGAGCAGTGGACAGTTATTGGCTGGCTGAATAAAATAAATTAGGTAGAGTTATTTCACATTTGAAAGGATAATCTGGGATCTCTAAAGCAAAAGGGATAGATGTTTAGATGATACCAAGTATGATGCTGAACTCAAAACATTGTGAAACTGGAAGTAAGCATGAAAGTTAGCTTAGCTCTGTTTGTAATTTACTTACCAAAACCTCCAGAGCCCATTTGTTTACCAGATATGTATCAATTAGTTGTATAAAGTAAGCTGCATGCTAGATTTACAGTTTATTGATCTGACCAGTAGGTTACTGCTGTTGTTAGATGACCGCTGTAAATTTGAGGTTTTACATTTCTGTTTTTGTGTATGTTGAACAAACAAGATGCAACATGAACTTTAGATGTGTCAGTTTGAACTCAGTACTCAACAGACAGACAAGACGGATAAGGATTCATATGAAAACATCAATTTAACAACAACAGCTCTATACATTTACAATTTCCAGTAATTTTATTTACTTAGTTACAGTGTTTGTGCTGTAACGGCGCTCAATTTAGAGATTTTGGCATCATAAGCAATTATGTTTTCTCCTGGTTTTATTTAGAATTTTCTGCACTGGTATTGCAAAAGAAAGTAATTCACAACTTTTTGTCCTGCAGAAAATAGAATTGCAGTACAGGAGGACATAAATGTGGTGGAAAAGCATTGCCGTTTCCTTCAGAGGGGAACATTTACCACAGTTTTTGGTTAACAGGATCCGCTGGAGGCTTTGACTATGCTCTGGATTACCAGCCACAAAAAATGGCGAGAAAAAGTTAAAGAAAAATTTAAAGAGTTGCTGATTTCCCAGCATAATTCAAATACCACAGTTTCAAATTCAAAATGTTTGTAATGCAAATTGCTTGTACAACTGTGGTCCTCGTGTTCGGTGCTCAATTCATTCAGTTTATTTCCATGACAAAGACAAAGTTTGCATAAACGTTTTGATAATGTGAAAAAAATCCCTGCATTAAGCTCCATAATCTTAAGTGTTGCATTATGCAGCAAGACTGTTGTGTGAAATTAGTGAGAAGGATTGATTTTAGACATTCTGCAAAGTAATTTTAGACATGTCTTTTCTTAACAGCCTGTGCTCCTCCTATGGAGTTCTTCAACTGCTCTGCTCATGGTCCAGCTGCAAAGGGAACTGAGTGTGAGAAGAGCTGCAGCACATTAGACATGGCCTGTGTGAGTCATCTTTTCCTAAGCATAAAAGAAAACAAAGGAAGTCATAAATCTAACTCTGAGATTATGTTAAATGTTTTCTTTTTAGAGTAGAAATGAATCATACAATCAATCATGGTTTTAATTTCATTCTTATCTCCAGGTGAGCACAGGATGTGTCTCAGGCTGTATGTGCCCCTCTGGAATGGTATCTGATGGTAAAGGGGGCTGCATCGAGCCAGATGCCTGTTCCTGTGTGCACAACGGTATCTCCTATCAGCCTGGAGAGACCACCAAAGTGGACTGTAACACCTGGTAGGGGAATCACGAGTAGAATGAAATAGTATCAGGTCCAACAATCTACAGCATACTTTGAGACATTTTGAGCTTTAACCTCCATCTGTGACTTATATGTACAAACAAAAAGATGTGTTTTATATTAAGAACCTGATGCCATCTAATCATTTGCATTTCCAGCACTTGTCAAGACAGGAAGTGGCAGTGCACCACCAACCAGTGTGATGGAACCTGCTACGTCTACGGTGCTGGACACTACATGACCTTTGATCAGAAAAGCTACACTTTTGATGGCAGCTGTGAATACATTCTCACTCAGGTATGAATGCACACAAAAACAGTGGTTGAAGATACCAATGAACTGCATTTTCAGGCACAGGTTTTTGAACTGAGGAATGCACATATTATCATTTCAGGAAGATAATTCTGTCAAAGAGCTGACCATTGATTGGAAATGGTTAAACATTCTAATTTTATAGAAACACTACTGCTGTTTGAGGGAGCTCTCAAAGAATCCAAGTACTTATTAGAATTACCCTCCAAAATAAACACATACATACATTAAAACTGAGTTACGTGTACAATACGACATACAAAATTAGGAAGATGGAGAGAGCTTGGGCAGCAAATGGTGTTGCCTTGAGTCTGGTTATAATGTCCAAGCTGTATAGCTGTACACAGTCATGAATGAACCAAATGTTTGAATGTCAGGTTGAGATATTGTAATACTCTTTCAAAAACCTGTGACCTTAGACATGCACTGTTGCATGCAAGAACTTCTTGTGCTCCAGCTTACACTGCCCCTGTGGTGCTTGCAAGACATTTTTTTTCTCAGACCTTTGTGTTAAAATGCTATCAATATTCCTCAATCAATACAATGCCAGATACTATGTTGACATTATTGTGGCTCACAGAATATAGTATATATTTCAGGTAGCTTTGGTTAAAAAAAACAACAAAAAAACACCAACAGAAATTTACAGAACCAACAGTCAAGCAGAGGTTCTAATACTGGTTCTTTGCTTATGTGTTTCCCTCTCAGGACTATTGTGGCAGTGCTCAGAATAATGGAACATTCAGAGTGATCACAGAGAATGTTCCATGTGGAACCACGGGAACCACATGCTCCAAGACCATCAGAATCTTCCTCAAGGTAAACAGTCCCATTAAAACCCAATCTAGAAATTCTGAGCCAAAGGCAACAGAGTTTGGTTTGGATTCTTGAGTATGTTTTTCCTTTTATCCACATGATCTTTTTCACTCTAACTCGGCATTTTGACACAAAAACTGGAAAGCAAAAATGCCAATGTGCAAACCCAAATGACTGCATTGTCAGAAAGGAATGGGATACAAGTTAAATACAGGAGCTCCTTGCATTTTCAAAAAGTGAAGTTTGTGGACTGATTATGAACAGTGATTTAATGATTCCAGTGACAATTCCAGAGTTTTCTATGAATTGTATTCATATTCATCTCAAATTGCAGAACAATCAATCGTTGACCAGCACTCAACTTCTGTTTTTTGTTTAGAGTGCAGAACTGATTCTAACAGATGGAAGCTACCAGTTGCTTTCAAGTGGAGATGAAGAAACTGTTCCATTCCAATACAGCACTATGGGCATTTACCTGATAATTGAAGCAAATAATGGTCTCATTCTCATGTGGGACAAGAAAACCACCTTGTTCATCAAACTCAGCCCAAAATATAAGGTACTAATTAAATGTGTGTTGGAAGATTTCTCTTTTAACGTGACTGTTCAGACAACAAATTAAGGAGCTTTACTTTTTCAGGGTCAAGTATGCGGGCTCTGTGGCAACTATGATGACAGTGCAAATAATGACTTCACTACAAGAAGCAACGCTGTGGTCGTCAACCCCCTGGTATTTGCGAACAGCTGGAAGGATTTACCAAGCTGCCCCAATGCTCTGAGCATCAGCAACCCCTGCACCACCAACCCATACAGACAGTCATGGGCCCAAAAACAGTGCAGCATCATACAGAGTGATGTCTTCTCTGCCTGCCACTCAACTGTAAGTTTTTGTTGAAGTCAAGTTTTTGGTTGTATTTTTCTTCTGTTTTCACTTTGGACCCAATGAGGCCTGTTACTGGCAATGTCAAGTCAAAGGTTTCTTCTCTTCAAAATTGTGTTCATGAAAAGGCACTTTAAAGATAAATGACTCATTTGTAGTAGATCTTTGATCCCTCGCAAATTATTCACTGGGTCATATCTTCCACTTGTCGACAACATCAAAATGTTTACCATGTTAGACTATTCATGAGCTTTTCTTTTACACCTTTCAATTCATCCATCCATCCATTATCTATACATTATTTTGCATTGTTCAGTCTCAAACAATGTAGCATATTCCATAAACTGTGTTCTGCATTAAAATCTTACTTTCTGATTAGTAACTGCTGCTATTAGATAAATACAGTGGAGCAAACACTCCAGTATTTGCACCTGTGATTTTGTGAAATAGAAGCAGAAATGCAGCAGTGCCTTTTACTTCGTGCAGAATTTTGTGTTGTAAAGTTGCACTTTCATACTTGTTTAAGTCATTAATGTATCTTCATACACTTATCTGCAGGTGGATCCTGGTCCATACTATGAAGCATGTGTGTTTGACTCATGTGCTTGTGACACTGGTGGAGACTGTGAGTGCTTCTGCACTGCTGTGGCTGCTTATGCTGAATCCTGTAATCAAGCTGGCGTCTGTGTACGATGGAGAACCCCTAACATCTGCCGTGAGTAACCAGAATGGCAAATCCCTTACTTAGTACAATTCAGACAGGACCATTTTAGTCAGGCATAAACTGCCCAGCAGCTCCAGACAAGCTTCTCCTTGCAGATTGGTGAAAGATGTGATTTTAATTGGTGTTAGTGTGTGTAGCTCTGTCAATGTGAGTTGGGCATTCCTTACTCAATACTAAATAAGAAAAAGAAAGATGGAAACTTTCAGGAAAATATAGCTGCAATATGTATTCAGAACAATTCAATGTTTTATTTCCGCTAATTTCTATTCACAAAAATTTTAAATTGTTAAAATAAAAATAAAAGTTTTCAAAGTGATTTAACCAGTAATTCCAAGCTCAAGCTTCTGTTCAGGGCTCCAGTATAACGGTAGGAACAAAGCTATATACAACCCCATGAGTAAACTCATAGTATGGTCACTGAATAGTTCAGCCTGAAATGTTTAAATTAGTGGGACATGATTAATAAAATAAAATAAAATAGTCTAATTGATTAGAGGCTTTGTAATTAATTAATTGTGATTAATCATATTTTTTATCAAATAGCAATATTTGAGGCAATAAGCAAAGTTTTTCAATTCAAATAAATTTCGGTTGACGGCTGTATCAATGAATAGACATATATGTGAACTTAAACAACAAAAATGTTTATTTTTCATCTATATTTATTTATGCATTTTTCATGTCTACTGCATTCACAGATTAGTGCAAAGTCTAAGTACAATTATAGCCAATATAGTCAACATTTTAAGATTTTTTGTCTTAAAAATCTTTCTTGCACAATTTGCACACAACCATACTGTTATCCAAGCTGCCTAATGGTACGTGTCCACAGGATCCATCAAGTTCTCACTTCCCATTCATTGTGTATGTGTCATGTTCTGGAGCATTGAGGGGAATTTTGAGCGACGAGGTATAGCGATTAGGTCTTGATAAGAAAAAAAACTTACCACACAACAACTGTCCACCCAACAAGCCAAAAAAATAAATAAATAAATGTTCCACCCAACCAGTCAAGCAATGTGGTCTAGTCTTCCATTACTGTTCACTGAACTTTTGTGCGCTGACATTACTCAATGCATTCTGTGCATCTTCGTTGTGGCTGGCAAACAAACTTTAGGTACATTACCGCCACCTACTGGGTTGGAGTGTGTGCTTCAGTGTTGTTTTTTTTAATACATTATTTTTTTCTTAAATGAATTAATCAAAATTTACGCATTAAAGTCCAGCCCTAGTTTAAATACTTAACAAGTTGTATTGTTTTTCTTCAGCTCTCTTCTGTGATTACTATAATCCTCCTGGTGAATGTGAGTGGCACTACATGCCATGTGGCGCATGTATAAAAACCTGCAGAAACCCCTCAAGCAACTGTTCTACACAGATACCTCCTCTAGAAGGTACAACATAAGTATTATATATATATAATTTTATTTACGTTGTTTTTTTGTTGTTTTTTTTTTACATTGGATGTACGTTTACAATTGTGTTTTTAAAAGTCACTTAATAATATCACAGAATCAACCACTACGCTAACACAATAAAAGTGATATCCATGACTTTCACAGTTTCTCTCAGTGTTAACTGTTTGTTTTTTAATTAGGTTGCTATCCAAACTGTCCTCCTGCTGAGCCATACTTTGATGAGGCTACAATGAGATGTGTTTCAAAAGAACAGTGTGGCTGCTACAGTGAAGAGGGGAGACACTATAATAGTGGTGACAAAGTGCCTACAACTGTGAACTGTCATACATGGTTAGTCATGCACATTTTATATGAGCAATTAAGGCAATATAGCGGAGTGACAGGTAGAAATTGAATGAACACTATCTAAATTGACCCCATATTTAATTTCTTTTCTCTTTAAGTATGTGCAATTCAACAACTATCCAGTGCCAATATGATGCAGAAGGTATGCAAACAATGGGAGAGATTGTGAGTTGTTAAAATACATACATACATACATACAGTACCAGTCAAAAGTTCGGACACACGTTCTCATTCAATGTTTTTTATTTATTTTGAACATTTTCTACATTGTAGGTTAATACTGAAGAAATTAAAACTATGAAAGAAAGCATGTGCAATTATGTAGTAAACAAAAAAATGTTAATTAAATCAGAATATGCTTTATATTTTAGATTCTTCAACATGGCCCCCTGTGTCAAAACTTTTGACTGATACTGTACATACCAGTATTGGATTAAGATTACATTTCCTTTCCTTACAGCCTGTAATTGTACATATAATGGAAACACATACCCCACTGGCAATACAATCTATAACACAACGGATGGACATGGCAACTGCATCACAGCCGTGTGTGGGACTAACGGTACCATTGACAAGAGGTCATACCCATGCCCAACACCAGCAGTGACAACAAGAATTCCCACTGCAACCTCTACTACACTCAGCCAATCTTCAACCACCTTTGATTTTACATCAACCATACATGGTATGTCCAAGACTTTTATTTTGGAAACTGAAGATATGTTCAGCAGTATAATGTCTGCTTTTCCACATAACCAATATCTGCATTATGTTTATCTACAGAGCTAGTTGCAATTACATGTAATCCTTGTGAATGGTCACCATAGTATGATACCAGCTACCCCACACTGGGAATTTCAAGGGGAGATAATGAATCTTATGAAAAGATTAGAGAGATGGGACTTTACATCTGTGACGAACCCAGCCAAATCCAATGCAGAGCTGAGAAAATCCCTAATGTCACAATTGACATTGTGGGACAAGTAGTGCAATGTAATGTTGAAAAGGGACTGACATGCAGAAATGAAGATCACTCAGGTCCACTGGCATCGTGTTTTACCTATCAATTTAGAGTTCTGTGTTGTGACTATGATGCATGCCTAACACAGCCTCCTCTTTCTACAGTAACTTCAAGCTCAACCACAAACCCGCCAACAGTAACTGTTACAACACCACCTGTTACAACACCTTGTCAGGAAACATTATGCAGTTGGTCACCATGGATAAATTCAGACTACCCTGAATATGGACCTCTAGGTGGAGATAATGAAACCATCAAAAGCATTATAAAGAAAGGTTATAACATCTGTGAGAATCCAGTACAAGTAGACTGTCAGGCTGTGCACTACCCAGGGCTTCCATTAAATCAATTGGGACAAACAGTAACATGTAATACTCAAGTGGGTTTCCTGTGCAAGAACAACGAACAATATCCCCCCATATGTTTAAATTACGAAATAAAGCTAAAATGTTGCAAGACAGTGCAATGCAGCACAACAACAAAACCCACTGAAACAAAGATGACAACTCTGCCACCAACATCAACTGCTACAACCACCACACCTACTACTACTACAACAACAACTACTCAGCCACCTACAACAACAACTTGCCCTGGAGGACATGATGCCGTATGTAGTTGGTCAGAATGGATCAATCTGGGAA